AAAAAAATGACAATGCAAAATATGAATATTTAAAGTCGTTGAACATCAACTTTGATTCTTTGAATTTTGTAATAATATATTATATTACAATATAATACAAGGAAACTATTTTATTATAAATGCTACTCGTCTATCGATACCGTTCATAATGAATTCATTATTATTCTAGAACGAATTGGATATACCTTTCCGACATATTTATGTACAAGTATAGGAACTTTGAACGTGCGGTCAATGTATAGGACTGGATCATTATGACAATCATATCGTGTCTTGAGCGATACTTATTNCATTATGACAATCATATCGTGTCTTGAGCGATACTTATTGGATATAACGGCAGTTCAAGAAGTAAGGTGGGGCGGAACTGGTAGTATAAGGTCCCAAGGAAACCCAAATTTTTACAGTGGCGGATAAAAACACGAAAGGGTAGTAGTCTTTGTTATTAAAGACAAAGTTTTACCAGGTTTTGTCAAGTTGGTACCAATAAGTGATAGAATATGTTATTGAGAGTATAATGCAAATGGCTTAATATTAGAATAGTAAATTGCTACGCACCTAGAGAGGATAAAAATTAAGAATTAAAAAATGCTTTCTATGATGAACTGGACAGAGTATGTAATGCATTACCGTCAGGAAAGCCATATATCAATATTGGTAACTCAAGACCTATACGTAGAAGCAAATATCATCGCAGTTCTAAAAAAAAGTAGATTGAGCTGGGCTGGACACGTGTGAAGATCGGAGGGTCCAATTGGACAGGTGACGAAATGAAGACTAAATACGAAGAGACCTAAGGGACGTCCTAGATATAGATGGAAGGATAGAGTAGTCAAGAACTTGAATGAACTTGAAGTAGAAAATGGGAAAGAATTGGCAAGATATCGAGACCGGTGAAGGAAAGTAGTTGTTGCGGCAATGGGACTAAATGGCCTGTAAAAGCTTCAAAAGAAGAAGAAGAATGTTTTTGTGTATGACATTATTATCGTTCAAAAATAAGTTAATTATTAACTTTTACTTTTTGTTTTTTATATATGTTAGTTATGTCTAGAGGTCTTAAATATGGAAAACTAACAAAGCTTGATGCTCATGCTAGTACAAAAACTCATTTAACGCGTATTACTAAATGGACAGGACATTATAACGTAATTATCAAAAAAACTGACACTGTTCATACCTAGCTAATAACTCAGTCTAAACTAGATTTTGCCACTATTAGGGAATATATTAAAAGTCTAATTAACATAAAAATTTATTTAGTATTCAAAGACTGACCGAACACAATGAAAATAAATCATCATTGAACCAAAGTAGGGCACTAATTTAAATAATCTGTAATGTTGCAGAATTTATACGAATTTTTTTTTAATAAATCTTATCAGTTAATAGTGTGTGCATTAGGTATTATGTATGTCCCCAATTATAAAATTAGCTTATATACCAGTCAACCGATCCAATGGTCAGTACCCGGTTTGTTGTAACAGTTGACCGCACACAGTGCATCCCTACACTCTTGTATTCTCCCTATGAACCAGTTCAAAGTTGGCACCCCCACCACCCGGTGACATCATGATCACCGGCCACTACACAAATGCCGCTACAACAGATTTTTTTTTTCTCATCTATACCACCGAGGCGACAAGTTGTCTGTTCGTTTTTTTTCGTTGTTGTGAAAACCACGTTATTGTATTTTTTTTTGTCCTCCGTTTTTTTTCTATTAAAATAAAACGTTGAGTCGACCGGCCGTCAACCAGGCTGTTTATTGTATTTTTTTTGTCCTCCGTTTTTTTTGTATAAAATAAAACGTCGAGATGTCCACGATGGCGTAAGACACAACTATGGCCGGTGGTGGGCCGGCACTTCTCAAAACAACAGCATCAAGTACAACATGAAACCCCCCTTTTCAAACCCCTTATTAATGTTATATATAGCACCTCTTTTTATTTTTTTTTCCTCTTTTCTCATGACTATATATTTAAAATTATATATATTAAAAATTTTCAATNTATATATATTAAAAAATTTTCAATAATTAAAAAGAAAAAATATTATGTTATACATGGCCTTTCTCTTTTATTAATATTTGTTTTTATCAAAACCTAGTAGCTCCATCAACAAGTACTATCTTGTTTGGCGCGGCTACTAGGTCACTGTCCAGTGTTCCCCCTGGTCAGTGGGTAATTAGTAGGCCCTCTGTTTGGCTGAAACCTTACAAATCTAATCACCTAATAATAAGTAATTAAAACTGAGAAGATATAACTATTAACTTCTTAATAAATTATTTTTTTTTAGTTAATTTCAACGAAAACTGTGTTTTATTGTCCAAGCATATACCTAAGTTTTNTTCAACGAAAACTGTGTTTTATTGTCCAAGCATATACTTAAGTTCTCTGAAATATTCAACAAAGAAACAAATAATTTGTTTCTTTTGAATATGGTAACTAGTGTAATTATTACACTAGTCTCCATATTCAAAATAAAATAATTTAAATATGTGCAAATAGTGTATGAGATTCAATTATAGAAGACATTTGTAGACAGACTATTAGTATAATGCGTGAGCAACATAATAAATTCAAAAATCAGCACTAATAAAAAAATATACAATTAATAAACACTAATATTACTATAAAATTTTTGCTTAATTTTTAGAAGTTATAAAGAAGAACAAATGTTTTATATTATTATTAACATTGCATGGTTCTCATAGAATAAATCTTTTGGTTGCAGATATGTGCAACATTTTTAAAGTAATAACCAATATTAATAAATTATGTTTATTTTATTAAAATATTATTTTGTAATAATTAAAAATTATAACAAAAAACCTGTAGTTTTTTAACACAATTGAGTGCAGGCGCGCACCCAGGATTTTTTTTTGGGGGGGGCTAAAACATTTTCCTTACACACAATAGAAAGCAATTACTACTCATTTTTAAACATTTTTATTATTATTATTACCACAAATTATATAGTATACTGTTTTTAATATTTTCAATAAAATATTATGACAAATTAGTTTAAAATTTAATTTTTCTGGGTCCCTTTTCAGATAGAACTTCTAATACTTCGGATTCTTTAATTTGTATTTCTCGATGTATGTGAAGATTTGCCAGTCCATTTAATCGTGACTGTCCCATAGTATTTCTGAGGTAGGTTTTGATTCGCCGTAGCGTGGAAAATGATCTCTCAGCCGTACTTGTACTTACTGGTAACGTTGCAAATATTTTCAAAAGTATAAATACTGATTCAAATACTTTTAAATCACATAAATTTAAACCATCGATTGCGTTTAGCGGTAAAGTATAGCAACCATTTTTGAATTTTTCGTACCACAATTCGAATTCGGCCTTTGCGACTGAAAAACTAATATGTTGCATATCTTTTTCATAAAATACAAAAAGATTTTTAAAACTTGAAATTTGTTCATCGGTTGGAGTATGTCCGGTAGGTAAAAGACATTTAAAACTTGTGAGAAGATTTTTGTGTTTTAAAAATCGATCAGACAGACTATTAAGAAACGAATCAATCCATGGAACAAAAATTGAACGTCTATAGTATTCTTCAATATTTTCTGATGGTGCATTAGATCGTTTAGTTTGGTGTTTCGTTAGTCTAGGTGTGGATAGAGTAAAGTCTAAATTAGAGGCAATTTGTTGTGCTTCTAGAAATAAAAGCTTAAATTCATTTTCTGCGTTACTTCTAAGCCGATGGAGAATAGACACTACACTTCCTACTTGGTTAACTGCAGTAGAAAGATCTATATCTGTCGTTTGAAGTACTTTACTTATTGGTAAAGTATAAGCTAATAATTTCTCTGAACAAAGTAATGAAATTATAAATGTAGATTGGCGAATACTATTTAAAAGTAAAAATGCACCAGATGATGAGTCCTTACAGTTCCACGATTGAATTTCTTCTAAAGCCGCCACTACAGGTAATAAAAATTGATTGAATACTATTATTGAATCGTGTCGTTCAACCCATCTAGTTGGACAAAACTGCACTAATTTAGTTTTATTAATATCAGGAGCTAAAATTTGAATTTGATTTTTTAAAATAATTTGACGTTTTGGTGTATTAAAAAACGTGTATACTTTTTCTATTACGCCAAAACTATTCCTAATAGATATTACATCAACAGCATTAGATAAAGCCAAATTTAAGCTGTGTGAAACACAATGAACATAGAGTGCAGTTGGATATTTTTCTGTTATACATGCTTGGACACCTTTAAATCTGCCACTCATTGCTGCAGCTCCATCGTAGCCTTGTCCGCGTAAATAATTTATGTTGATACCACATGCATTTAATGTTGTTAAAAGTACATCTGCTAAATTTTGACCCGAAGTTGATTCTACTGGTACAAATTTTAAAAATTGTTCAACTATTTTAAAATTGTTTTCATCGATACACTCAATATATCTTACACACAATGAGAATTGTTCGATTGAGGAAATATCAGACGTTTCGTCAGCGAGTACGGCAAAACATTTAGCACTATTAACTTTAGTTACAAGTTTAGATAAAATAATTTCATCACAAGCATCAATTATTTGGTTCTGAATATTCCAACTAATATACGTTGAATTTTTTCCGCAAGTCATTAAATGTTGTTTTAAATTTTTGTACCCAGAATCAATTCGTGCACTAAGCAACGCTCGAAAATTACCTTCGTTGCACTCAGGTTCTTGTTCTACGTTAAACGTTCCGTAATCTCGATGTGCCCCAAGTGGCAGACATTGTCTTCCACACAAAATAATCGTTTTTATTATCGGTTTCAGTTTTTCTTGATTTTCTAAAG